AAGACAATCTAGCTATGTGGTTGCTAAGAATTGACATTTAATTGATGACCTTTAATAGTCTGCCAAGATCAACCAGATACTGCCAAGTAAACATCAAAAGAGATTTTAACTTTTACAGAGGGAACATCATTTTCTCCTTGCAATTGCAGCTCATAGCCACAAGATGACATCTTATTAGTTTACATGTACTATATAAAAGTTCAATTGCCACAGAGGAGACATTTCAGAGCCACAGACTTTAACAGACAAACAAAAATATTTGTTGGCCACAAGAATCCAATGATGACATATTAACATTAAAACTAAAGCTGGTTTTATTTCTTCTTCATATTTTGGGAAGCCATAGTTGCTTTAGGGCAAAATTTTTATTTGTCTTTCATAAGTGTGAAAATCAAAATCATAGGATCAAAATCTGGAGATTTGCCATTGAATATTGGTGAACAGGGAGGGATTCCACATTGCAAAAGGGGCCAGAAGTCATGTTCTTCCAAATTCACAGTATTCTTCCTTTTTTGAAAATGAGTCATTTTTCTTAAGCACAATGTTCCTAGACTTATTCTTTGTGTTACAGATAGATTATATCGAATCTGCTCTCCCAGTGCAGAAGTACGACATGTACAGTGCTATCTATGCTTGTGTAAACAAACTAAGGCTCAGCACGATGTACAAAGTGTCTCTTTGTAATATATGCATCAAGAACCATTTGCAGATTCCCTACAGTTCATGTATATCATTTTTTAAAAAAGAAATGTACATCACTTCTACAATACAAAGAATTACATAAATACTTGTTATATACTTGCAGAATATGAATATGTTAATGGTCCATTGGTGGAAGAAAGTGGCAAGAAGATGATAAGCAGCAGGGAGAAAGCAGACCTACTTAACTCATTTTTTGCATCCATCTTTACACGAAGGGAAAAAACAGTCCAACCTATCAAAAACAGCACCGCAAAAAATAGATTAGGAATACAAGTTAAAATAGGGAAGAACATAGTAAGTGAGCACCTGTCCACCCTAGACGAGTTCAAATATCACCAGAACCAGATGGATTACACCCCAAGGTTCTGAAGGAACTGGCAGACGTGATCTCAGAACCACTGAACTATATCTTGCTAAGATCATGGAGCATCGGGGAACTGCCAGAGGACTGGAAAAGAACTGATGTAGTCGCTTCTTCTCCTGCCTTCAGGTGCTTTGGAGAATAGGTTGGCCCCCTCTTTGAAAATTTCTCAACCTCGATTTTCAGATTTTTACTATATATTTTGTGTTCTTCTTTCTCTTCTAACTTGCTCATTTTTTTTTACTGCTTTTTCAAGTCTTATTTATGTTCAAAAAATTGGGAAAAAATAGATCCAGGAAACTACAGACATATCAGCCTGACCTCAATACCAGGGAAGATTCTGGAAAAGATAATCAAATAACAAATCAGTTAACATCTAGAAGCAAACAAAGTAATAACCAAAAGCCAACATGCGTTTGTCAAAAACAGATCATATCAGACAAATCTTATTGTATTCTTTGACAAAATGACAAAATTAATGGACCAAAGGAATGCTTTAGATATAATTTACTTGGACTTCAGTAAGGCATTTGATAAAGTAGACCATAACTTACTACTTGATAAGATAGAAAAATGTGGGTTAGACAGCATCACCACCAGATGGACTCATAACTGGCTGACCAACTGTACTCAACATGTAGTCCTCAATGGAACTGCATCTACATGGAGGGAGGTAAGCAATGGGGTACCCCAAGGCTCTGTTTTAGGCCCAGTACTCTTCAACATCTTCATCAATGACTTAGACGAGAGGATAGATAGGGAACTCATCAAATTTGCAGATGACACCAAGCTAGCAGGAATAGCCAACACTGCAGAAGTTGGCTTAAGATACAGAAGGATCTTGACAGACTTGAACATTGGGCGCTATCTAACAAAATGAAATTCAATGATGAAAAAAGTAAGATTTTACATTTAGGCAAGAAAAACAAAATGCACAGGTACAGTATATGTGGTACCTCATACAATACTAGTAACTATGAGAGAGATCTTGGAGTCCTAGTGGACAATCACTTAAATATGAGCCAGCAGTGTGCAGCAGCAGCTGCCAAAACAGCCAACACAGTTCTAGGCTGCATAAACAGAGGGATAGAATCAAGATCACATGAAGTGTTAATACCACTTTATAATGCCTTCGTTAAGGCCACACTTGGAATACTGCACCTAGTTTTGGTCGCCATGATGTAAAAAAGATGTGGAGACTCTAGAAAGAGTGCAGAGAAGAGCAACAAAGATGATTAAGGGATTGGAACAGTGGTGGGTTGCTCCCGGTTCTTTCTGGTTCTTTAGAACCGATAGCAAAAGAGGCGGGAGGCTCACCCACCCACCTGGATGTCTTAATTGACGATCTGCGCATGCGCAGAAGCATGCACATGAGCGAAGCAAACCTATAGTAAAGGTAAGTAGAACCCATCCCTGGACTGGAAGCTAAAACATATGAAGAATGGTTGCTGGGTAGACTGGGTATGTCTAATTTAATGAATAGAAGGACTACGGGTGACATGATAGCAGTGTTCCGATATCTCAGGGGCTGCAACAAAAAGAGGGAGTCAAGCTATTCTCCATAGCACCTGAGGGCAGGACAAGAAGCAATGGGTAGAAACTAATCAAGGAGAGAAGCAACTTAGAATTAAGGAGAAAATTCCTGACAGTTAGAACAATTAATCAATGGAACAACTTGCCTCCAGAAGTTGTGAATGCTCCAACACTGGAAGTTTTAAAGAAGAGATTGGACAACCATTTGTCTGAAATGGTATAGGGTTTCCTGCCTAAGCAGGGGGTTGGACTAGAAGATCTCCAAGGTCCCTTCCAACGCTGTTATTCTATTCTATTCTATTCTATTCTATTCTATTCTATTCTATTCTATTCTATTCTATTCTATTCTAAAATGGCTTACTTTGCATACAATGTTAAGATGTATGTAGTTTGATTATGGCTTAATGTGCTGAATTACTGCATATACTCAAGAAATAAGCCCAATCATGAATAAATTGACCTGAAAAATTGTAACCAACAGAGCAAACAGTTTTGCTTTTTTCCATTTACTAACTTGTCTTTCATGTAGCTCAAATTTTGTGGCAGCAACAAAATGTTAATGTCCTCTATTCTACTAATAAGTTTGGCTTGAAAGCTACATCATATAACAATTGGCAATTTCCAGAAATAGTGATTGCCTGCATACAGAAATGTATACAACAAAACATAAAAAACTGCAAACTTGTATGCTATCACTTAAAGATTGTGATTAAAAAACAACTGAGGTCCAGTCTGTAGATAAGCTGAACCCAATTTTTGTTATGTATTTTGGAAGCAAAAAACCTTCATCATATTTCTATTTATTAGATTTGTTTTTAATCCCACCTTTATAAATACAGATAGTTCTTAATTTACAATCATTCATTTAGTGACCATTCAAAGATACAACAGCACTGAAAATGTGACTTACAGCCATTTCACCTGACTGTGGCAGCATTCCCATGGTCACATGATCAAAATTTGGATGCTGGCAATGGTCTCATATTTATGAAGGTTGCATTGTCCTAGGGTCATGTGATTACTTTTGCAACCTTCTACTGAGCAAAGTCAATGGGAAGCCGGATTGACTTAACAGCTGTGTTACTAATTTAACAACTGCAGTGATTTATTTAATAAATGTTAATTAAAGGCAAGAAAGGTCATGAAATGAGGCAAAATTCACTTAACAACTGTCTCACTTAACAGAAATTTTGGATTCAATTATGATCTTAAATTGAGGACTACGTGTAACTCAAAATACTGTAGTAAACCTACATAATGGTACTTTTTTTCACCCACATCAACAACCCTGTGAGGTGGGCTGGGCTGAGAGTGAGTGACCAGCCCAAAATCACCCAGCCAGCTATCAAAGCTAAGGCAAGACTAGAACTCACAGTCTCTTGGTTTCTAGGCCAGTATCTTAACTACTAGTACATCAAACTGGCTGTCTATTATATGTGAATTTCTACATTAACTCATACCCAGAGGCTTTTAAAGATTGGGATTTTCTTGTGGGACAAAGGAACATCTGCAGTGCCATCTTCCACTCAAGCTGAAAGTTGTTTTAGAGGTCAGACCAACACAGTTTCTCTGGGTAGCAGCCATGAAAAGGTTGCACATTATGACTGGAAGATTAAAGAAAGTGAGTTCAGGTTGTTTACTGTATGGACATGTCCAGGATGTTTTCTGGATAATAATCTTCAAGGCATGTTCTTTCAACATGCCTTGAAATTTGCTTGGGATCTCCCACTCAATTTGGGTCACCATTTGTTGTTTCATGATCTTTCACAATTGGCCAGTGCTGCTGCTTTTATTTTTATTGCTAGAACATAATAGAATTCCCATGATGTTGTATCTGCTGTGACTTTAAGAAAACAGGTGATTTTAAGGAAAAACGAGGAAAACAATATAGGTTGGCTAAGGATTTTAAATTTCAGTCATTCAGAGTTCATTAAGTACATTTAAATGTTGGCTCAGTGAATAGTAACAATGAGTGGCTTACATTCGTAAAGAAACTCAAAATAAGAAAGGAAACACAAAGCAGTTGCTGCTTTCATACTATGCTCCAAGCAACAATATTAAATAAATTCCACCAAAGAGGAACATTGCAATGAAATGCACTGCGTGCCCAAAGTTAATAAGCATCCGTCGTTATGTTTCCTAATATATATAAAACCCCTAAAGAGAGCCACACACTGATTTAAAAAAAGTGCTTTGATCCATTAAAAAAAAAAAAAAGATTTCTACGGTAGGCAGGCTTTCAGCAACAGGAAGTGTAAGTAAGTGGACTACATTACCCAGAATTCTCCTTAGGAGGCGGGACAAGAATGAGTCGAAGGCTACTGTTGGAAGACAATAACAGAAGCTCTTGATCAGTGGGCAAAGGTTGGAGGAGCCTGTCATCCCAAGGTAGGAACAGTCTTCCCTTGATACGATTTGCAGTCCTTGAATACTGGACATCGGATGGAAGCTTAGCTATTGCTTGATGCCGCCGGGCCTTCGGCCTTCTTAGGATGTCGGTTTAGTCTTGAAAGTTGGAGGAAGGACATTTTACTGCAATTTGGCCTTATAACTGCCATCTGCGTGCAAGTGGACAGACAGGTAGAGTCGGCAGCCTGGCAGAGGGGCAACTCCTGCCCCTCCAGCTGTGCATGATCATAATAATAGGTGAATAATCACTCGTGGAATAAAGCAAGGTATTTACTCTAAGCGGATCGCGAAGCTGTCTTGGAAAGGAAGGACCGGAGGAGAAAACTTGGGAGCGTCTAGCTTGGTGAGGATAAGGGAACACAGGTCTGTCCCCTATGCAAGCAGCCGTGGGAAATCGATCGCTTAGGTTTGCATCGCGAGGTTGTTAATATTAATTATGTGAAATGACATTCTTGATGGTGCGGAGGAGTGGGGGAATAAGGGTTACGTTGAAGTTTTTGGTTTCGGTCAGGAGTGTGGGCAGGAAAAGTAGAACGTACTGAAATTTGGAGAATGTTGATGGGCTGGAAAAAAAAAAAGAAACATTTGCCGAGAAGCTCACTCAATGCCTTTATGTATTTCGTCTATAATCAACTTTTATTACTGCTTTTATGCTATGGTGACTACGCAAAGGTTGATCAAATTTTCCTAGATGACTTTCTTTCCCGTGCGTTTGGGAATTGAATTTAAGTGACAAGTCCCGAATTAGAAGATTGTGAAGCTGTACCCGCGTGTTGTTTACATGTCGGAAAGCTTCATTTTTTTAAAAAAAAAATCTATATTGCCTACGGGTCGTCTGTATAACCTGCACAACTGCAGTCCCCTATCTACAATTTCAGAGAGAAAAGCCCCTAGACCACAGTGGAGCTTCTAAACAAACCTGAGTACGATTGGATTGAATGACTTCGGAGTGTGGAGAGATTTTTTTTAATATGCAAAGATACAAGTAGAGATAGAAAGGAGAAGGTAAGTAACATTTTTTCCCCCCAAGAAACGCTTGGCTAGAACAATTCCAAACTCATTTCTGGTCATAAGAAATGAGATAGCACAGTAATTCCTTCCTCCGTGCCTCTTTTCTGCCGAAGCTTTCGGGATAGGGATTTCTCCCTGCATACTTGGTAAGGGGGTGAAGGTGGTCTCCATGCATCAGTAATAAATGAAGAATCAGAGGACGAAGTTTACGCTGTTGGGTGAGAAATCGGGATCGAATATGGGAAACAAATCCTATTGAATTCAATAGCGCTCGCTTCTTAGCTCGCTGCCCTGGACCAGCTTGTCTTGTCTCACCCCTGAATTCTTCTGTCTTCAAGCCAGCAGGAGTAGGGATAGTTGCTGAAGTTAGGTATACAGGATGGTGCAGGAATAGGACGAGATTGTCTTCTGCTTATAAGGGGGTAGAAGTTTGCGCTCTGTTGCTTTCCGACGACCATCAGCTGTGTAAACCCCCAGAAGCATGGGTCTTGGAGAGGGTGGTCTGAAAGCTGGGGGATGCAAATATTGCCGAGAAAAGACCAAACGGAGATCCGAGGGCGGTGCTGGGCAAAGGACGTGAGAAGCTTGGCTTAAGCGGACTGCTCTTCTCCGTTTTCCCCGCGGCCTTCGCGTTCCCTTGCTCTTTGCCGGATGATCCCGAAGTGCCTCGGCCGCAGGGCCCTCAGTCGACAAGGAAAGCGGCGGCGGTGGTGGTGGTGGCGGCGCCGCGGCGATTCGGCTCGTCTGAACGAAGAGTCCGGCCATGGCAGAGACGGAGAGCGGCGGAGACAGCTCGGTGCATGAGACTCGCTTCGAAGCGGCCGTGAAAGTGATCCAGAGCCTGCCCAAAAATGGTAAGTAGCAGGAAAACGATGGAGATAAATCCGGAGCAAGTGAGTGGGGGTGGGTGGGGGGGATTATAAGATGTGGATGAGTCCGATTTCCCCCCCTGACTTTTTGAAGTAAATGGTGCCAATAATTAGTAAGCCTTGTGTAGTATCAAAGCTAAGCAGAGCTGTACTTGGTCAACACTTGGATGGGGGGACTCCCTTCAAAGAACATGGTGACTGGGAAGTGAAAGGCTACTACACCAAACTACTTCGGTGGGATTGCCAAAGTGGTGAAGGACAACTTGAGGAAGTTTTATGTTAGATCTGGAGCGTCCAAGGTAGACTGCTCACTCTAGATAGAAAAAAACAACACCACCAAACATCTCTCTTCCAGTCTGGAATGACACAAAGCTCCAGCCTACAAACCAGTCAGCCATGTTTTAGCGTAGTGTGTTAAATCAATCCAGTTAGGGTGGTTCACTTGTGATTCTGCATATGCTATACAAATTCCCATACATTCATTGAATTGCATTAACGATTAGAATTACATTCAGGGTAAGGGTTTTTCCACAGTGCTGGAAATTTTTCCATTGGTGACAAACATTTCAGAGTTAGGATGCTACCAACTGTGAATAATTACTACAATATGTGTTTCCAGGCTGAGTGTGGACTTGAATCTGAATCCTGCATATTCTATGTTCACATAGAATTTATGCTGAAAGTGATTGTTCTTGGAATATAATTCTATACAATTTGTTTTAAAGTCAGTGAAACTTCAAATATACAGTGATATGCTGAAAGTAAAAGCATATGTATTGACCCTAAAATAAAAATCTTAAATCTGTACTGAAAAAATGTCAGGAAGTTGAATCTTGGCAACTAGACTTTTCTTTTCCTGTTCCTACAAATCTTTCGCTGCTCATCCAAGAAGATTCTTCAGTCTTAGCAAGTTGGTTGGGGCAACTCCATATATATATATTCCAGGGTGGTTTAATTTTTCACCTGACCTGAATAGATTTGTTAAGTGAGGAGGCAGAGAGTAAATGTTTCAACTCCTAAATCCTTTCCCTACATGAGTCCCTGTAAGTATGGGCTCCCTATACTGAAAAAATGTTTTTATCCAATCATCTTAAAGTTACAAGCTAAGCTTCAGAAATTCTTCCCTTAAGCAAAATGGTTAGAAATTCAGAAAAAAAGTTCAGTGGGGAAGGGAATGTGGAGGATGGTGAAACCAAGAAGTGTTTGGAATGTCTGTAGAATATAAAATGGTTAACCCTGAATGAGAACAGCTCTTCAGAATCTAAAATTGCCTTAATTTTGATAACTTCTTTGACAATTAAATGATTTACATTTCAACTAATTCTTCTTTGGCTGGCATCCATATGTCCACATTAGGATTAGGAATAAATTGTCCCTTTTAATTAGATTTTGTGTAGGCGATGGCTTATGGGTGTAACAATATGTGTTCAAGTTTTTTTTTTTTTCCAACCCTTTTTTTTGAAACTGCTGGAACAGCACAGGTATTCACATCACTAAACATAATTTGTAGACATTTTGAAAAGTATTTTAAGAAATAATAGATCAAGAACAAAATTTTGTTTCCATTCCTTCAGCTTTGTTTATTAATCAACCACTTGACAGTTGCAAAATGATTTCCTGTGCAATGGTCTAAACATGATTTTAGCTGTGAAAATAATTCCTCTACTTTATTTCTCTGTTTATTTAGAGGAACCATCATTTATTCCTTCATTAGTAATATTGATTGGTTGGTTTTCTTGTTAAGTAAAGCCATGTTTTAGAATCAAAGGCTCCTTTTTCAATACAGGTAGTCCTTGACTTACAACCACAACTGAGCCCAAAATTTATGTTGCTAAATGAAACATTTCTTAAATGGGTTTGCCCCATTTTCTTGCCACAGTGGTTAAGTGAATAATTCCATTTGTTAAATTAGTAACATGGTTTTTAAGTGAATCTGGATTCCCCGTTGACTCTGCTTGTCAGAAGGTCGCAAAAGCTGATCACATGACCCCCAGAGACTGTAACCGTCATAAATATGAATCACTTGCCAAGTGTCTGAATGTTGATAATGTGACCGTGGGGATGCTACAATGGTTGTAAGTGTGAAAAATGGTCATAAGTCAATTATTTCAGTGCCATTGTAACTCTGAATGGTCACTAAATAAACTATTGTAAATCGAGGACTATCTGTATAAATGGCAAATTGTTCTCACAAGTAATTCTTGGAACTATAAATGTAAAATGGGAAGTATTGTATCAATATACGGTACATTTGCCATAAGCAAGATAGATGTGATAAACTCCATTTCTAAGATATTGAGAACACAGTAGCTTAATAAAATAAACAGAATAGATTTGGAAGTAGTTTGAATAAAGATTTCAGATTTTTAAAATCTCTTTTACTGACCCAATTTGCCATTATTTTGCAAATGGTCAAAGGTCTCCTAGATAGGTCTAAAACAGCTAAACTGGAGTTTAGTTGTGGATTCAGTTATTAGGTAAGTCATAGGGATAAGAACATTCTGATTTATCATTAGTAGCATAATTGTCATATATTACTGCAATGTGCTTTGAATTTCTATGGTGTTTTGTTTATTACTAGAATATGGCTTCTACCCTATGGATTCCACTTTGGATCTAATATGAGACACAGCAGCAATCATCCTTTTTTATGCTTATCTGGACATTTTGCTTTTTCTAATGAAAGAAACACAAAATACTGTTGATACCATTGCCTGAATATTCATATTGATTCTTTTCTATTTGTGCAAAGGTAGTTTCATCATTAGATCTCCTCAGAGTTTAAAGTCAAAATAAACAGGCAAGATAACTGATGTTTGAATTTAAACTAGTGGAAATAAAACCATTTTTAAATGATTGGCTACTCTCTTTATTTTGCCTTTACAATAACCTATAATTATTTTGTTAAAGCAATCATGTCACTGTGTTCTATTTCTCGCTCTAAAAATCTTTTCCCCGCAGGTTCTTTCCAGCCAACAAATGAAATGATGCTGAAATTCTATAGTTTTTATAAACAAGCAACTCAAGGACCTTGTAACAGTCCAAGACCAGGATTTTGGGATCCTATTGGTAGATATAAATGGTAAATAGTATACAACAAAGATATTTTTAATGATTTAAAGTGATGCCTTTTCTATTCCCACCACCTAGTATGGAAAGTATTTGTCTTGGAATTACAGCACATCCTTTGTCCAAATTCTGTCCTTGCTATCTCCAGATGGTGCTGAAAAGGTATTTTAAAATTAGGACAAATAGGCTGGAAAACAGCTTCTATCCCAGAGCAGTAACTATAATGAATTCTACTGTAGAGTGTAATATTAATGCAGTATCAGGGGTTTTCAATTCAATTGTATAGAATGTGAAGGATGTGTATTTTTGTTTTATTTTTATAGTTTTTTTATATATGATGTACACTGAAGATGGCATTTAATTTCATTGTATGAGCTGCGATGACAAAAAAGTAAACTAAACTAAAATATGATCCTGAAAACTCTGGAGATCATACAAATATTTTTCCTTCTGCCTATTGTACTTTTTTTTTCTTTTGGATAAAAACTTTATTACAAAAATTTGAACATATGTACTATTTGAAATAGAGCTTGACCGCTTTCTGCTCTTTTTTTTTTTTTTTTGTGAACTAACAATGTGATTCTGTACTGGAAAAAAAATCTATGCAGTTTCTTAGACAATAAGCACACATAAAGTCCACAGTCCTATATTAATTATTGAAGTTACAATTACATAATAGAAGAGCAACCCAGTGTTTTGAAGATGTTCTTCCTGTGATATTCGTTGTAGGGATGCATGGAGTTCGTTGGGCACAATGCCCAAAGAAGATGCTATGATTGCATATGTTGAAGAAATGAAAAAGGTAAGAGCTGTTTTATATACATAGATAGAATATATATATTTTGCAGGGATTTTATTTCTAGCCTCTGTAGCCTTCCAACTGATTTAGGTGGGATTTTTTTTAAACTACATCTCAAAAGGAATTTCTGTGACTTACTTAATGGATGTTAATCTTAGAGGTAGCTGCCTGCATATGGAGAGCATTAGGAAAATTACTGCCACAAAAAATAAGTGAGAAACTCTAGTTAAGCTCATTATAGAAGTTTATGCCTGTGAGAGAGCAGGCTCCATAAAATTGCCTGCACCTGTGCTCCCTTCTCTCCTCTTTAAGTACTCTTCCCAGCATCAGCACAGCAAACTTGATTACGAAAGTTGAGCTGTAAAACTGAGTGTGAGCGAAGGAGAGAGAAAATGATGTGTGTAAGTAAGCAAGCAAGCAAGCAGCCAGCATTTTTTTTTCTAGCAATACTGACAAGGAGTAGTAGCAACTGTAATAGGAGTAGTAGCAGTGGGGAAGATTAGAGAAGAGTGAGTAGTGAATAATAAGATGTATGAGTATATTTATGTGTTATCTAGGGGCCTATGCTGCTGTTAGCTCTTTTATGTCTTCAGCTCACCAAATTAGGTATAGTTATAAAAAAAACTCCTGCAACAATGTGAGGCAAACAACCTTCTCTGGATTGCTGGAGGTGGAGTTAGTTTATAGCAAAATAAAATTATATGTGTGCCATTTTAAATTTGTGGTTAAAGATAATCAGTTTTTTTGTTGGATGAAATGTATTTCTGGGTGGCTTGAAAATGAAGCAGCAAAGGCATAAAAATATGTAAGACTCTCACTACAGTTTGGTGGCTTATCAAATCTTTTTTCTTCTCCAGAATTATAGTATGTCAGATTCTACTTTGAATAGAGAGAAATGTAGCATTTTCCAATTTTTGGATACTGAGTCAAAAATGTATCATTACATTCTAAATATATACCCTTTTCAGTAGATATTAATATATATTGAAACGGTGTGTGAATTCATATGACTAGAAGACTAGAAGCTGATAAATCCTTACTAATTTTCTAGCTAAACCTGTTTTGTTTTTAAAGATTGCCCAATTATAGAAGGGCAAATGTAAGCAGAAAACTTGGAATGGCAAGTATCTATGTAATTGAGTAACAGTCAGGTTTGTACAGGAATTGTAAGTAACTGTTAATGAATTAACACATCTTGATATATCATTTAGCGCCATCTTCAAAACAAGATATTCTTCATATAAGAATAAAAAGCAAGTCATCGTGTGTTTATGTTATGGCATGTGTATTCACATTTACCATATATCTGATTAATGGTTAATAAAATCCAGGGGTGGGTTCTACTTTTTTACTACTGGTTCGCAATGGGAGCGCACATGTGCAGATTGTCAATTATGACGTCCAGGCAGGTGGGCGGAGCCTCCCACCACTTTTACTACTGGTTCGCAAGAACCGGACAGAACCAGGAGCAACCCACCACTGATAGAATCTTTCAAGTAAGTAGACCCTACTTTGTAGAATTATATAGTGAAACAAACTGAGATGAAGAGTTTGCTCTATGAAAGACATTTTAAATAGGATGGTTGGAAAAAAAAAAAGTTTGATGGGACAAGTATCCTACTCAAAAGAGAGGGATAAGTGGACTATTGTATAGAACAGGATGAAAAAAGATAGTAACTTTTCTGTATAGGGGATTGTTTTTGAAATATAGCAATTGCTGAAATTTGTATAAGGACATAATTATGCAAGCCACATCAGATTACACCAATTATGTAAATTTAGATTATGTAATAATGTCCTTATACCAATGATGAAAAATAACATGGAAGTGTAATCTCTGATTTACTGGACATTCATGAATAATGGACATCTGTTAGATTTTACTTCTAGCCAGGGGCAAACTATTTAGAGACGTTCACAAGAACGTCTGATTATAATAATAATCAGATAAGTAATATTTATTAAACAAAATTAGAAGGCACAAACAAATGCAATGATGTAAACAATAGGGAAATCTATTGCATGCAAAGATTACATCATTGAGGTACAATAAACTGAGATTTTGCTATAATTAAAAAACTACTGTGTACTCTTTTAAACAAGAATAAACAAAAAAAAAGTTAGGTGGAAGGAATCGGAGCAATACCATGAGTATTGATCAGAGTTACTTCTTTATTGTTGTGTGCCTATTTACAAGAATTTTGCCTGCCTCACCCCATTGTCTTGGGAATAGCTGTTTAAGTGATTCATGGATTCTGGAGGTGGTCAGGTCCATGTGGCTTCTTGCTATGCAAGGATTCTAAGCTAGTTAGTCTTTTATTCTTCCCACTCCAGCTGGAGATTCCACCGCAAATATGCTAACATCAGGGGTGGGTTCTACTTACCTTTACTACCGGCTCGCATCGCACCCACGCGCGCTCTTCTGCGCATGCACAGATCAACTTTGATGACGCCTGGGTCAGTGGGTGGAGCCTCCCGCTGGTTTTACTACCAGTTCTTGCGACCCACCATTGGCTAACATTTTAGAAATTTTGGGAACCCTTCTAAAAGTAAATAATAGATAAAATTGGTTAATGTAAACATTGAAGGTTTGATGATTTAGTTTTGATAACTATTGGCTACAATCCAAATCTGTTTGAGAAGAGATTCTTCTTGTGGGACTGGTTCATAGCAAAGCATCTCGGAGATTGTCAAATTTAGCACTGAAAGGTGTGTGGTTCATTCATGTTTTGTGTTTCTCCAGATACTTGAAACAATGCCGATGACAGACAAAGTTGAGGAACTGCTACATGTTTTAGGCCCATTTTACGAAATTGTAGAGGATAAAAAAAATAAAGGACCTGATCTAATCACAGGTGGGAATGCATAACAATTCTCTTAACAGCTTTAAATTGCTTAATTTTACATTACACAACATTTTTAATGCTCTTTCTCTGGCTTGTACTACCAGTGATTTAAAAGAATGTTAAAGCTTTTTTGTGATACAGATTAACAACCACTCATTCAGCAATCTTTTGAACTTGCAAGGACACTGAATGAATGGTGCTCAAAATTCTAGCATTTGCAGCATCCCCATTTTTTACATGACCACCATTTGTGACCTTATCTGCCAACTTCCTACAAATAAAATCAAATAGTAACCAGTAGTGTCCTTGCTTAACAATCCACAGTGAATTGCTTAACAACGGCAATCAGAAATGTTGACATTTCAATCACTAAACAGCTAGTTCATTGCACTTTACTATATGTTGCTCAATTCCCATCCCAATTGCCATTGCTAACTGAGGATTATCTGTATTTGTTTTAGAATAAATTATATTGAATATTGAAAAAGATGTATATTGTAGGGTTACCATCGTTCTGGAATTCTGGAATTCCCCTAAATGGCAGCCCTTTGGTAGGGTTACCAAAGTTCTGGAATTCCCCTAAATGGCAGCAAAAATTTAGATTTCTTGATCTTCCACCTAATGGTTGTTTTACAACTTGTGTGGATTTTTGCAATCTATAAAGTTATAAATATCAGAAAAATAAGACTGCTAATAACTCCTGTGAAAATGAATGTATTTCTATTATCATGACATACCTTCCATTGCTTTGTTCTGGCTTGTCTTTGCTAGCTCTTTTTTTCATAATGTCTAAACCAGCTATGTCCAACCTGTAGCCTGCACAACACAAGGTTGTAAATTTTTAGCAATAATATATTTTATATGCAGCCCAAGACAATTCCTCTTCATTCAGCGTGGCTTGGGCAAGCCAAAAAGTTAGACACCCATGGTCTAAACAAATAGGCATCCATTTTTTTTCCTTCAAGAAAATATAATATTTGAAAAGGCATTTAATATGAACTGAAATACGAGATCTAGATTCTATTATTAATGGATAGTTATATTTTGCATATGGTGACAAAAAAATAGCAATCTTGATATAATGCAATTCTCCTTTCCATGCCTCAGGTGAGTAGGATTTTACATAACATATTTAGCTTGATTCAATATTTCATTTTGTAGGTTTGCGGAAGAGGTTGGCTCACAACCAAAAAAGCAAGCTGGGTTTGCACAACTTAAAAAACATAGGAAGGTTAAAACTTAACTGAATAGCTAGTTGTTAACTGATCTGGTTGTATAAACGCAACCACTTTTAATGCTCAGGTTATGAGTTTTAGCCCGTCTCATGTCCCTTGTAGAGAGTTGCAGGTTTTTGGCTGTGGCAGAATGCGGGGATGTGATACCTCTTTGCAATGCAATGCTTGATGGTTATATTACTAAGTAGTACAATGGGAAAAATGTTGAAGAGATGTTGGCTACATACTTTGTGTAAATATTAACACAGTTACAAAGTGTAGCTTTTGTAGCGCATAAAGTCAATGCTAGTTAATCAGATAGTAGGTCAAATAAAATCTGTAAATTCAGGCATTTAGTTAAAATATTCTCTTATCCTTCTCTCCTAATTTGTCACAAGTAATTACATTATCTGAGGATACACAGACACAAACACACACAGAAAATAGGTCTTGATTTATCAAAACTATAGTGATATGAAAAAATCCTGGCAAAAAAGTCAAAGGGACTTTGGTCTTATTTACTTCTAAGAACATTGCTCTCTTTTACTCTGCCAAACCATGCAAAACAACTTGAGCAGAACATTTGCAAAGCAATTGTTCAATTAAAAAAAGTTTTTAAACAATTTCATTAGTCATAGTAGCATTTTGCAGCTTGATCATCAGTTAAAAATCAGTATGTATATCAAGAACCTGTTCTTTAAAAATAAGTAGGTTATTTATCTTCTTGAAAACAAAAGTCTGTAATATGCTATTTTTTGTTATTGTTATCAAACAAACAAAAAAACCAACCCTAGCTATATATGGATGCTTATTTCAGAGTTCAAAAAACTATAAAACAGGGTCTTATTTTTGGGGAAACATGGTAGTATTCCCCTCTTGAAGTGTCACAAATGCGGACTTGAAGAGGAAGGAAAAGGAATAATTTGGAATAATTTAAGTAAAGGTTTCCCATCCAATCAAATCTGACTCTGGATTTAGGGGTGATGCTCATCTTCATTTCTTGGCTGAGGGAGCCACCATTGTCCGAAGATGCTTCTGTGGTCACATAGCCAGTATGGCTGTACGCCAAGGTGCATGGAATGCTGTAAGCTTCCCGCTGGAGTGGTACCTACCCTGTTTTCCCCAAAATAAGAATCCCCTGATAATAAGCCCAATCGGGCTTTTGAACACATGGCAATAAGGCCAAACGCTTATTTCAGGCTTAAATAAGGGTCTTATTTTTGGGGAAATACGGTATTTATCTACTTGCATTTGGGTGCTTTCTAGGTGGGCAAGAACTGGGACAAGCAACAAGAGGTCATCCTGTTCCGCAGCACTTGTGTCTTGAACCCAGGCTGTCAACTTTCTAGCTGACAAGCTCAGCATCTTTAACCACTGAGGCATCATGCCCCATGAAAATTAGGTACCTAAATAATTATTTTACATCTTCAGTTTTTAGGTAAATAAAATTTATCTTAATAGATCCTCACAAAGCTGTGCCAGCTGTGAATGGAAAATCAGAAAACAATGACAGTGGAGCAGAATCAGAGGAAGAACCACAGCCAGAAGAATTGGGAGATGGCCAGCAGATTGATAAAGGTACATATTTATTTCAGAATAGCACACTGTATACCTTCTCACAGGTTTTTGATAAAGCTGCTTCTCAGGATGGCAAAAGGGAAAAAAAAGGCAAATTTTGTTAGGAAACAATTGTGTTCTCCTAACAATAATGAGAAAGCATGATTCTCATTTACATTTGATTTCCAATATTCTAAATTGTAGGTTCTAGTTATTGGAGGGACCATCTGTCTTCCATAGTCTCTGCCTAGCTGATCCAAAGTGGCTGAGTTGGTGTTCTCTGGGTTCCTTTGATTAAATAATGTCTAGGATTCCAGAAGCTCATCTCCATGTGAAGTGCACTGTCTACCTATAATACATAATAGACTATATTTTTCAGAGTATAAGATGCACCTGAATATAAGACGCAGCTTAGTTTTGGGGGAGGAAAATAGGGGGAAAAAAATCTGCCTACCAGGTATTCATCTGGCTAGCGTCCTTAGTCTGGTCAGCTTCAGCACATTAGTTTGCTGGTTTTTATCCCCTGCTTGGGGATAAAAAACAGCTTCTAAAGCACAACTGATCCTTGAAGAGAGAAGCAATGAGAAAAGCAGGCAAACCACAGAGTTCGCTTCATTCACTAGCGCGTTAGCGCTGAAAAAAAACTTCACAGCTGAGAGTCAGAGGGAGCAAGCAAAGTGTGTAGATCGCTTCACTCGTTAGGGCTTTAAAAAAGCTTCAAAAAAACTACATTCGGAGTATAAGACGCACCCAAATTTTCAGCCTCTTTTAGGAGGGAAAAAAGTGTGTCTTATACTTCGAAAAATACGGTATGTGTGTGTGTGTGTGTGTGTGTGTATATAAAGTTTAGTATTAAAAAGAACCAGTTTTTTTTTGTTTTTTTTTTATTTATATGCTGCCCTTCTCCGGAGACTCAGGGCGGCTTACAATGCGCTAAGCAATAGCCTTCATCCTTTTTGTATATTTATACAAAGTCAGCTTATTGCCCCCACAACTGGGTCCTCAATTTACCTACCTTAGAAAGGATGGAAGGCTGAGTCAACCTTGAGCCTGGCGAGATTTAAACCTGCAGTAATTGCAGGCAGCTGGTCTTAATAACAAGGTGCTTTAGACCACTGTACTACCAAGGCTCTTACGTTTGGTCTATTATCCAATGAAAATAAGCCATGCAAATCCATTTGATAATTCTCAGCCCTTAACTTCTGAGAAAGAGCCAATTTGTTAAAGGTTATAAGCCTAAAACCAGGAGACTGCGAGTTCTAATTCCGCTTTAGACAGTCCTAGGAAGGAGACAATGGCAAACCGCTTCTGAAATCTTGCCATGTAAAACTGTAGGGACAGTAATGAATTGAATAAATAAATAATTCATAATGTTACTCTTTGTCACTTAACTATGAGTTAATCCCACTGCACACAAAAAAGCATTTTTTCCAATTAAGCAATTATAGAGTTGGGCTATGTAGCCTGAATATCAATACGTTAGATTCAGACTTCTTTTTAAAATTAAAGAAACTATTTACATCAAATTTAGATATTGCCCTGCTCAGTGTCTAAGTCAGCAGCCCCCAACCTTTTGGGCCTTAGGGACTGGTTCTGTAAAGAGGTTTTTCTGTGGACTAGAGGTGGTTTCATGTGCTGCCTGCATCCCATGAATGGGGCTACGCTTGTTTGCGTGGCCCGGTTTCTGGCATGCCTTGGACTGGTGCCAGTTCATGGAGTGGGGGATTGGGACCTTGGTCTGAGTGATTCTGGATGGTTTACAGGTAAAAATAATAAAACCATTTGAAAATCCATAACACAATTAAAATCAAATTTGGAGACAGTTAAACGGTGGAGGGAACCCCTTCGAGCCAACTAGATCTGAGATTGCATGCTACTCTTCAATCCTTGTGCCAATTAGCAGAGCCAAGTCTTCACACTGTTCTAAAAGGCAGTAAAAGTGGGGACCATTGTCACTTCTGAATGCAAGGTTTTCAATAGAGTAGAGCAACTCTCTTCCTAAATCCCACCAACCAAAATTCTTTAACCAAAGGAGTCTTGTAACATGCCCTCCTCCCTGCCTAACGCGGTGGAACAGGTTGAAGTAATTGGGACAAGATGGTTCTTCAGGTAAGCTGATTCCAATTGAGAAATCTTTTAATGCTTGTAAGTAAATCCTATAATTCTGTACTCAGGTAGTTGGGTTCTTGGAATTCAGTTGCACTTAGTTACAAAGATTCTACTCCCAGTTACTGTAAATGTGTACACAGTACCCACTTTTTTTTCTAATGGCAATTAAAATTTCAGTTTTCCTGTACAAAATGAAAATGTATAGACAGCAAGTTATTGGGAGAAATCAGATCCATGGGTCAGCCATGGAAATTCAGAGCCAATTTGGGTGGTTCTCATGTGCTCTTAACCCAACATTTGAAGTTGTTGTGGGAGAAATGAGAGAAGCTGGAAAAATTGGTGGCACATGTATTGTTAGATATAATATAAATAGATAGCAGTTTGATGGATTTTTTAACAACAAGCTGTTTTTAAGCCCTTTTATTACCAATGAACATTTAAATTAATTTGTGAAATATTTAGTTCATAAATATTGTATGTATTGTTCAACAAATAAAAATGTACAGATAGTCTTTGATTTGTTTAGTAAACATTCGAAGTTACAATGGCACTGAAAAAAGTGACTTATGTTTTTCACACGTACGACCATTGCAGTATCCCTATGATCAAAATTCAGACACTTGGCAACTGATTCATATTTATGATGGTTGCAGTGTCCCAGGTTTTGGTGATAATCTTTTGTGACCTTTTGACCTACAAAGTCAATGGGGAAGCCAGACTCACTTAACAGCCATGTTACCAACTAAACATCATTCAACTTCATTGATTCACTTTACAGCTGTGGTATGAAAGGTCATAAAATGGGCAAAATTTACTTAACTTGCTTAGCAACAGAAAACTTGGGATCAATTGTGGTCATAAGCCAAGGTCTATCTGTATTTGTAAAAATAGAATAATGTATGTGATAATGAGATTCTGTTTGCAAATTTATCTACTTAGGAGTTTCAGAAGAAGATGTGAAACAAAATTCATCCCAAGATAAGGATTTAGATGGCGTGGTTATTAATGGTAGTTGTCATGCTGTTTCCAACGTTGATGTGAACAATGGCATACAGACCAAATCTAACCTGAATGGCATCAGTGTTGATGAAGAAATAAAGACAATTGAAAAGTGCCTTGAGTTACCAGTTATCCCTAACTGGGATTCTACTCATCAAGGTACTGTTTTCAGATACTTTTGTTATCCAAATCCACATTTATATAACATAATAGAATAAGAGAGTTGGAAGGGACCTTGTAGGTCATCTAGTCCAATCCCCCACCCAAGCAGGAGACTCTACACCATTTCTGACAGTCTCTTCTTGAAAGCTTCCAGTGATAAAGCTCCCACAACTGATTGATTGATGTTTGCCAGTGTGGATAATTTTTTAGAAAACATTTCTTGTTGGTGCTACTTGGTTTGTTTTCCAGCATTGATAAATATAGGACAGCAAACAGTGGGTTGGTGCCCGGTTTAAATGAAGAATTAATTTAAATAGCCTTTTGCATTGCCTGCCATGGTACCATGAACACCTCTTTCCTTTGGCTGCAATCAAATAGTCCTACTTTCTGATCATCTGTTTTCCCGCTTGAGTGGGAAGATTAATATTCCCTACTTAGTCTTCTGTCTGTTGAAATAATGGAACAAGTCATGGAGTCCCCTTTAATTTTAGCATCTAAAAGACGGTCAGCTTTATGTTTAAGCTGATGAATATTTTTTTCTACAAAGATACTTATTTATAGATATTATATACCCGGCCTGTCAAACTGGCAGCCCACGGGCCGGATGCGTCATGCGCTGACCACATCCACACCGGCTCTGCAAAGGGAAAAAACGCCACAATACTTCACAATACATCATGTGACACTATTGTGTTTGACACCCATATACAGCCCTAGAGTGGAGAAATACTGTAAAAGTGCTCCAGGTGGCCCTTAATATTTTGCCCCTTCAACAATGTCAACACCTGTGGAAGAAAAGAAGGAATAAGAGTAGGCTGGTGTCTACATATAGAACATTGTATACTGTATGTAGATCTATATATGCTAAAATGAATCTAAAATATGACAAGTATATTTGTGTAAACTATGAAACTATGAATCAGATCAAATAAAGGTAAAGATGCTTTCCAATGGAGCATGGCTCTTTGTGATTGCATGGGCTCAACCCAGATTTTTCTTGCTTTGGAATAAAGTCTTTTCCAAGTTGTTGTTCAATTTCTCAATCTAGCATACTCCCATCCCCATATTAACCAATCTGAACATGGTTACACACCCAGACCAGATTGGCCAGATTAGCTACGACTGAGTGAGCATATCTCTGCTATTTATCCATTTAGAAAACACAGAAATGTAAATATACACAAGCCTTACATGTACAAAGAAAAAGATTGGGCCAACTTAATTAAGAATTGTATATTAAAAATGTGTGATTTGTTGTTCTCATGCAGAGAGTGAAAAATCTTTTGAGATATTAACTCTTCTACCTTTGATTTTGCATTAAAACTGTTGATTTTTAAATATACCTATGTGCATACCTATGTGCATAAGGGACGTGGCTAAGCATCAGTGGCTAAGATGCTGAGCTTGTTGATCGAAAGGTCAGCAGTTCAGTGGTTTGAATCTCTTGTGTCGCTTAATGGGGCAAGTTCCCATTACTTTTCCCAGCTTCTACCAACCTAGCAGTTCGAAAGCACGTAAAAAATGCAAGTACAAAAATAGGGATCACCTTTGGTGGGAAGATAAAAGCATTCCATGCACCTTTGGCATTTAGTCATGTCAGCCACATGACCATGGAGACATCTTTGGACAGTGCTAGCTTTTCGGATTTGAAGCAGAGATGAGCACCACCCCCTAGAGTCGGGAACGACTAGCATATATATGCGAGGGGAACCCTTACTTTTACCTTTTATGTGCATATTCTTTTTCCTCCAAATTATTGGAATTAAGTTAATTTAACACACACAGAGAGATACAAAGATATATAACTGCATTGTTTTACTGTGAACTATCATTGCAAAGAAAGATTCAGCCTAGCTGCTCTTTAGCAAACCATTAAACTTTTACAAATTGCTAAATTAAAAATGTAATTCTCAGTACTAGTGTTTGATTATATACTTTTATTTTAATATTTAAGTATTAAATATCTTCAGTTGTTAAGTATTTGCTCATGTATACACATAGGTCAAAATGAAGATGCCACTGAAGTGTCTGGAATTCAACTCTTGACGAGTGATTCAGATAGTGAAATATACTGTGATTCAATGGAGCAGTTTGCACAAGAAGAGGTAAATTTGCAGTCCGTCATGTTGTAATATAAAAAAATATTTACATGATAATCATTCTACAAATACACAAAATGGTTCTGAGGCTGTAACCATCTTATATTGCCCACCTGGTCAAAGAATTCAGAATCAGTTTCAATTTCTAATAAACGATAGTAAATCTTTCCCAAGATCCTGAATAGCTTTTGCATCTTTCTGAAGCTTAATGTTAGCTTTAAAAAACTAATAGTTTACATCTATGCATCTTTGCATTTAACTTGCATTTAATTAAAAAAGAGTAAGGGGGAGACTAGTAATTAAGGTCACCTTATAATGATAGAGGTAGTCCTTGATTTACGACCACAATTGCTTTTCTATTGCTAAGCAAAGCAGTTGTTAAATGAGTCACTTACAATTTCATGACATTTTTTTTTGCCATAATTGTTCAGCAGATCAGTGGTTAAATGAATCACATGGTTATTAAGTGAATCCAGATTTCCCAATTGACTTTGCTTGTTGGAAGCCAGCTGGGAAGTTCCCAAATGGCAATCACATGAACCCAGAGATGCTGCAACCATTGTAAATACATGCAGATTGACAACTGCCTGAATTTTGATCAATGCTTGCATATCTTTTCTGCTGTGACACCTGCCTCATGGAATATTCTCTTAAAAATTAGATTAGCTCCCTTGCTCTTGATATTCCATAAGGCCAGAGGTGTCAAACTCAAGGCCCAGAGCCGGATTTGGCCCAGGGGGTGCTTAGATCTGGCCCGTGGGGCTGCCCTGGAAACAGCAAATGATGTGCCTGTGGTGCCTTTGCCAGAAAAAACAGAGCTCTCTGCACACAGCCCTCCCGTCCCGAGCTCCATTTTCCATGGCAGAGGGTTGCAGGAGGCTATTGCAGCCGAAAACGGGGCTTGGGAGCCTGTTTTCTTTGGCAGGCACAACACGAGTGACGTTGAGCTGGCCACTCTCAGCCTGGCCATGCCTACTCCCCCACGAGGTCAAACACAACCCTGATGTGGCCCTCAATGAAATAGAGTTTGACACCCCTGCATAAGGCTCTCAAGATCAGATTATGTTATTAGGTCCAGGGTTCCCAAAGAATCAGTGACATGCTTAGGTAGCTCCATTGCTGAGCTAGTTATTTTTATTCCCTCTTCAGCTAGGTTTTGTACCTGTTTTTATAATACCTATTGTTAACATGACTTCTTTACATTTTAAAAAAAAAACTGTAGTTTTTACATGGGATTCTACCTGTTTTTATGTACCAGAGACTCCTTGGGTAAGATGGGCAGCTTTATTTATTGATTGATTGATAAATAAATAGCGCCTTTTGCTCTTGTTAATTTATAGATCCTGGAAATCAGCTCATCAGTCAAGGAAATTTCCAGACATCCATTAACTTTCTCAGAAGTAGATCATAACAATCTGTTAGAAACTTCTGGTTTTCTTGAACTTGGAAATCACAAAGCAGAAAGTATAAAGGAAGCAGCACTTGAAGGAAAAGGTGAAATCAAGTGTGGCGGTGAAGATGGCAAAGGAAATGATGGAGGCCCTCAAAAAGAGAAGAAAAATGGTGAAAAGGTTGATATCTATGGAGTTCGAAGGGGAAGAGGTATTATTGGAATACATAGTTTGTTGGAACTCTTGCATAAATGAGGCATATTTAAAATAATTCTTAACATTTCTTATAATAATGGTTTTGTGTATGATTGATATATAAATTATATTTATATATATTACATATTAGGGCTGTGCATACTTTGAAAATGATTCACAGTAGAGCTTTGGAACTCTGGTATTTATTAAAGCAGCCACATCTTTATTAGGCTTCTATGCAAGTCTAGCTTTAAGAATCCTTTTAAAGCAGTGGTATCTTTTTTCACATTTTCCTCTAAGATTGGAAAAAGTTACTTTATGAAAAGTATTCTGCTTTTGCACAATATACAAGCATCATGAAATCTTTTTGAAAAGATATGCAGCTCTTGATTCATTTACTTTCCTTCTAAAAGTATTTTTTCCTTAATTTAGGACATAGAATGTACCCTTTAGGAGATGGTGGCCAAGGTGGACAGATGGGCAGTGGAGGAGATGGAGAACGATGGGGTTCAGACAGAGGACCACGGAGCACCCTCAATGAACAGATTGCAATTATACTCATACGATTGCAAGAAGATATGCAAAACGTTCTTCAGAGATTACATGCACTTGAGATCCTCACAACTTCACAGGTAAATGTATGTGGATTAGTATCCAAAAGAGTCTCTCTGTTTGTCTACCTATCTATACAGTGCCATACAGTTCAATATGGGGTATTTTCAAGGCAAGTATATCTCTGAATATCCCCATGAATTTTTAAGAAGTTTTCCAATGAAGATAATACATTAGAAGCTCTGCCATTATTGAATCTGGTGAAGAAATGTCTCTGAAACCATGGGTCATGGATTGTCTAATACAGGGGTGTGAAACTGGATTTCTTCAAGGGTTGGATCAGCATTATAGTTCTCCTCTGTGGGCTGGCCAGGGGGGAGGGGAGGAGATGGGACGGACACCTCCTGCAGCACCCTGCCAGCCAAAATGGGGCATAGGGGTCCCCCACGAGCCCCCTACACCCTGTTTTGGATGGCAAAGTGCTGCAGAAGGCCATCTAGGCCTAAAATGGAGCACAGAGGAGGCCTCATGCAGCCTCTCTGTGCCCCATTTTGGCTGCCAGAGGCACCACAAGCCAGTCCTTTGCTATTCCCAGGCTGGCACTACAGACTAGATTTAAGCACCCCACGGGCTGGATTCGGCCTGCGGGCCTTGAGTTTGATACCCCTGGTCTAGTAGATTACTAAAACTATCAGTGTATTTGACTGTAACCATCAATTGAGCAAAATGATGCCTCATAGGACAATAATTTTTGAATCAAGGTCCCTCAAATGGGCTTACAGAATGCGTTCAAAATCCAGGAACATGATTCAAGTGAGATTGAAATTTAGCAAATCTGTAGCTGCTTCAGTGCTGGCATGCTAGTATCCCACTGCCTGCAGGTTTAGTATACTGGCCCCACCCTAGCCCTCTGAGGGTTAGGTAGACTGGTCCTATCATCAGCTGCCAGAGAACAATCAAGCCAATAGGAAGTTGCTTCCATTAACATTACTTTTTGGCCCTTGATCCGTTCTGTTTCTCTGTTTAGGAAAGGAAATACTTCTAAAACGATGACCCAACATGATATAGATTGTCTAGTCTTTCTTAAATTCTTGGAAGCTTATTAGCTAAACTATTAAGTGGAGAGAATTTTTGCCTTTGAGGAAATAGCCACATACTTCAGCAAAAGGAAAATAGAGACAGAAGACATGTTTGAAAGACAGGGCGAGCTTTACTATTCTAATTCTTCTATGAACTGCAATATCTAAACTATTTAATCACAGTGAAAAAAAAAATTTTTTAGAGTTTATTTTGTTACAGACTATCTGAAAGGTCCAGACCAGAAATGGAAAGTTGGAAGAATATTTCTGGGATGTAATAGGGACAAAGAGAGAACAATGAAGTTCAAACAAGGAGGCAAAAGATCTATTGCTTGAGCTAAATTCTTATATGTCATGTTTTTTAATAAATGTGAGCAAAAACTATACCTGAACAGATCCCCAAAGTTATGCCGTAATATAAAGTTTTAATTTGAAACATGTTTTTAAATAGTTTGTTCAATTTGGTTTCTGTTTGTAGGCAACCCTACAGTCTAATAATCAGCCTGAGGCACCTGTTAAGGTAGATTTTTATTTACTTCTTAATATACAGATAAATCAATTTAGATCTTTATTGTGATTTTCTTAAATTGTACAGATTAGAATAGAAGAGTTTTTTGCACCCCATCTAAGAAACTATTCCAGAAAACATTTTAAATGCTATTTTAACTATATTGAAAAGATGAATGTGTTTATTGTTTCACCTAATGAGAGGTAGTGCACAACTTACGACCATAACTCGGTTTAGAATTTTGGACCCTAAGCAATGATGTCATTAATGACATCATCAAGTGATTGGACCTGATTTGGGGGACATTTTTATTATAGTCATTAAGTGAATCTGGCTTCCTCAATTGACTTTGCATATCAGAAATCAGCTGGGAAGAATGCAAATTGTAGTCATGTGCAACTGTTGTAAATGTATTGAATTTATATTTACTGATAAAGAAATAAAGGGAGACTTGTACAGATCTATTTCAAGCTATTTAGCTCTCGTCAGCTAGCCATACCCTTCTGGGATTCAAACCTGGGCTACTTGCATATTAGGTGAATGTATTAACCTCTAAGCCACAGGCTCTCCTCGCTTTATTTGCTATAACAGGGGAGTGATTGTTCTTTATCAAGGCAACCTGGTCTACCCAAATATGGCATGGGCCATACTGCTTCCACTTTCGCCTTTCTGCTCCAACCAGGAGCCTTCACAGCCAGTTGCTTTCGCAACAAACTATATTTGTGCTGAATTTATATTTACCAACGAAGAACTGTTGTAAATGCAATCTGGTTGCCAAGCACCCAAATTGTGATCACTCGCCAACAAGGGTTGGTACGAAAGTCAAAATGTTTGAGGATAGGTAATAAGTTACTTTTTTCTTTTTTTGTAAATTCAAAATATCAGTAAATAAATAGCTGGAAGTCAAGAACTGTATGTACAAAGATTGCATGCCAGTGTTCAGACCAAAATGGCCAACAAAAAAAATAAATAAAAAAAATAAAAAAAATTGAACTTTTTAATGTATGTTAAGAAACAAATTTATGTTGCTACATTGACAGCTGCTGACTGCTGCTAATTTAAATCTTTCAATGCTTATTTACTTATAGAGAAAATACTCAAATTGAAGAAAAATTTCAATAGTCTTATATTAAATGTAAATTTACTGTGTACATATAAAATTAAAAAATATCTTCAGAAATAACAGTGAAGTGTGGGAAAACAGTGTTTGCTTAGCTTGCGATAACATGTGAACCAAGTTTGGTTGCAAACGTATAAGTAATCCTTAAAAGTTTTTGTCAGAACAACAATTATTCCAAAGTCTTGAGCGATGATGGTCATCTTGGTGGAAGTGTTTTTAAATAGTTGATAGGCATCTTATTTATGATTTTTGAATTATATAGGTGATTTTACCAGGGACATTTTAATATTTAATATTGGAATTTTTATAGCAGATGCTGATTTAATATTTATTGGTGAACATGAATTTTGTATGCCATTTAGAAACCATCGTGGTGGCCCTTTGAGATTTCTCCTGGTACTTTAACCTTTGCTGTTTTATGGCCCTTTGTTACCCAATGGCTGGTGCACTTATATCTTCAAAGAAGAAGGAGGTAAGAATAAGGTATGGATTGGAGTTATATACACTTTATGTCTTAACATTTAGGAACAACCTAATTCTTACCCCAAGTCTTGGGAGTGAAAATAAGAAATTCTATCACAGTAATAAGCATGTTTTGTATACAAAAGCTTGGCATCTAGGTCTGGGAGACATACACTTTCACAAACCTTAAAAGATCAATTCCAGTCAATCAGACAGTGCTATAGTAGGAAATACCAGGCACCACCTAGCTAAGATTGCATTTAGCCATCAAATCAAACCTATTGAGAGGACTTGCTAAATCTTGTTCTGCAAGACGTATGTGGAGAATGAGCAGTATTTCCCAAAGTTAAGAATCTTTGAGTTTCATTACATTGGTTTTTTTGTATGGATGGGCACATCCAGAGTACGGGGCAAGTTACAAAAGTGGAAATAAAATATAAATGTATCTAAAATATTGAGAGTATACTAGTACATTTTATAGATGTAACCTATCTGCAGATTTTATAGGTTACATTGACACACATTTTAATGAATACTGGTAATGGAAAGCATTGTGTATAGTTGAAGTGTTGGATTAGGACTGATCTAAAATAATTTCGAATCTACCTTCTACTACAGAGGATCAACAGGTTGATTATGGGCTAGATTTGCCTGGTCTTTTAATCTAACCTACCTCCAGGCATGCCTGGAGTTCCTGGATGAAAATTGCATACAGATCCATCATCAACACAATTCTGTAAAAGGTTCTACTGATTCTTAACACAGCAATCTGTTCTCCAAATTTTTCTTTCTTTTCTTTTTATTTATTCAACAATGTTATTCCAGATCAATCAGTGAGGACAATCATCAAGGGTATTCTCTCCATAAATCCTGATGAGGAACAAGAGCATATGTCTGAATTGTGTAAAAAAAAAAAAAAAAAGTCAAGATCCAACTTTGGGACTAAAGCTCTGAACTTTTTTATATGTGTCTGTTTTAAAAGGGTAGAATTTCAGTCAATACGTAGTCATGAATGGAATTACAACTACAGGGAGGGAAGCGGGCAGGGGCGTACCCTAAGGGGCCCAGTATCTTCAGCATCTTCATAAATGATTTAAATAAGAAGATAGAAGGGGAACTCATCAGATTTGCAGACGGCATCGAGCTGAAAGGATAAACAAGACTTTAGAAGATAGGCTCAATAATCCAGAAAGATCTTGACAGACTAGAACACTGGGCCTGTCCAACAAAATTGAATTTGGTGGCAAGTAAAATAAAATTTTAAACTTGGGCAAGAAAAAACAAATGCACAGGTATAGAATAGATGACACACAGCTCAACAGCATTTATTGTTGGAAGAACCTAGGAGTCTAGTGGATAACTTGTTAAATATGAGTTGGTAGACTAGTGCTGCAGCAGCCGAAACAGCCAATGCAGTCCTAGGCTACATCAACAAAGGAATAGTACTGAGATCACATGACATGTTAATATCACTGACAAGTTTGACAAGGACTAGGGATGATATGATAACAGGCTTCCAATATCTGAAGAGCTGTCACAGTGAAGAGGGAGTCAATCTATTCTCCAAAGCACCCGAGGGCAGGGCAAGAAGCAATGGATGGAAACTTATCAAGGAGAGTTCCAACCTAGAACTAAGGAAAAATTTCCTGACAGTGAGAACAATCAGTGAAATGATTTGCCTCCAGAAGTTGTAGATGCCCCAACACTGGAAGTTTTAAAGAAGAGATTGGCTAGCCATTTGTCCGGAATGGTATACAGCAGGGCTGTCAAACTCCCAGCCTGTGGGCCAGATGCATCATGTGCTGGCCACACCTATGCCTGGTTTAGCAAAGGGGGAAAAAGTCATGATTTGTCATGTGATGCCACCGGGATGATGCGAGTTTGACATGCCAGGTATAGGGTCTCCTGATTGAATAGAGGGTTGGACTAGAAGACTTACAAAGTCCCTTTCAGTTCTGTTATTCTTTAGAATGGAGTAGCACAGAATTTGCAGGAGGTTTCCAATGTAACTAGGACAAAAGTTAGAAGATTTGGCTCTACTTGCCAGACCTGATATGCAACTTTATCTCAGCTGTGAACCTTGTTATTGAGCAATGGAGCGATATGCCTTTTTTCCTCTTTCTTTTTCACTGTTACTACCCTTCCACCCATCCAGGGCCTCCAGCAGAAGTCCATAATAAGGATGTCTAAAATAAGAGTAAAGGTTCAAAAAGATTTTTGCTACGTGTTATTGGATCAGTTACTTAGAAGTGGAAAATAACAAATCCTTATCAGACCTCTGGGTGCTGTCTGGTTTTCTGTTTTTGATTCTGGCAGATTATAATCACTAACAATGCAGAAGGATGTTTCACAGGAGCGCAGAAGCTACTATTTTATAACACTCAAGGAGCATTTGTGACGTTGATTGCGAATTTAAAAGAGCAAGTTCACCTCCTTAACATAGTATCTTTCCCCCACTATTCATATATTTATACAATTAAAAATAATAATGGAAACTTCCCAAGTCAACATACAGGTAGTCCTAGACCAGGGGCCGGCAACCTTAAACACTCAGAGCCACAAAGGCCCTAGCCGGAAGCCCCCCGTTCAATTCTGGAGTCAACCAGAAGTCCAGTTCCCCCCACCATAGTGTCTCCTCCTAGCATGTCATCCTTTTTCCTTTACCTATCTTAACTGAAAGCCCTAACAATTGTGGAGCTGATTGGCGACAGGGAGCCGTAGCAGAGGGATGAAAGAGCCACATGCGGCTCCAGAGCCGCAGGTTGCTAACCCCTGTCCTAGACTTGACTGTTCGCTTAATAACTGAAGTTATGATAGACTTTCCTGGGGATACTTACAACCTGGTTTTGAATTCCAATGGCTGCCCCCACTTTCCAGTTATGTGACCACATTAGGCCTTGGCAGCTGCTCCACATTGACAGCTGTTTGCAGTGTCTTGCTGTCACATGACTGCACTTTACAACATTTTTGCTCAATCCTGGTATTCTAGTTTTCAGCAAAAATGCCCCATAGCAATCAATTGATTCACTTAAGGACTGCCGCAGTCACTTTACAATTGCTGCATTCACCACTACAAAAAATGTCATAAAATTGGGTTGGTAATGTAGGTGACCATTTTACAAGTATCATGAATTATGACTGTAATGGGCAGCTCTACTGTGGTCGTCAGTCAAGGACTACCTGAAGGTATAAAAGGAAGAATATACATGAACCTGAGAGCTTTGTTAAATATTTAAGGGCTTCAGTAACAGAAATTGTGTTGCAAAGAAACCTTTCTGTTTTAAGAGTAAAATGCATAAATTGAACTTTATACATAACATTTACTGTAACTTTAAATTATTAATTCTGTGCTGACAACATGTTAAAGTGCAGACTAGGAATAATACCAAATGTCCAGCTCTGTTATTTACAAATAAAAGAAAAATTAAGGGGGCATTTTGCATGAATTTTGAGGAATAATCTCACTGGAAGAAATATATATATGCCTGTATTTTCAGTAGAAATGCTTGGGTTTGCACAGCAGCTGGTAATCCCTGTCTCTTCTCTCTCTTTCAGAAAACAGAACTGAGCCTTGATTTTGCTTAAGAACTACTAGTATGGGAAGATTTTGAAAAATACTGTAGTTAACCCAGGAACTATAATCTCTGGAATGATTAAAACATCCTTGTCTTTTTCCTTAACATTTTTCTTTTTCTTTTTGCACTACTGAAGATTCTATACTTGAATGAGACATTTTTCCTATATTTCTAATAGAATAAATACAACTGTCCTATTAAGCAATCATTATGAACTACAATTATTATGACAACACCTTCCTGATGAACAGTTTGTATAATGTCTTAGTTTTCAGTTCCTACTGGGGGAAAAAAATAAGTCTTTAAAAGAGAGGAAAAGTCTTTGAAAGCATGTATCCCCATTCCCCAAATTCATATAACTGTATGATTTGTTTTATAATGCCAACTTTTTGATTAGACATGCAATATATTGAGTAAGCAGTACACCCCCAAAGGCCAAAATAAACAAGATTATTACAATTGCATTTAAGAGTAATGAGGAGTCTAATTTCTAACTGCTACTATATGTGATAACTTTTTAATAAAGTGTTTGAGACTCTTGATTTTGCTTCCACAGAGGCCACCAAAATTATATATTTTTAAAAGCCACAAAACTATGCATAGCCATACATCTCAGTGTAACAATACTCAACTGAGTCTCAAATAGCATGATGGAGTCAAAATAGTTCATTGGAGAGAATGCTTAAGAAGGAAAACAGCCCTGAAGATACTAAGTTCAATGCAACCTCAGGGCAGTTATGAATAAATAATGAACACATCTATTGAATAAAGAGACAAGTACTGTCTTTATTCAAAAAATCCAATTTAATTAACAGTCATAGGTTTTGCATATTAAAAACTTGCTCTATGATGCTGTTCTGCATTTGTAAAGAAATACTTTGTAAATGGATGCAATGGAAAAATGGTGTTAACTGCTATAACTTTTCTAAAGCTATGCAACCAACTCTGCTGTTAAGTAACTCCCACCGATTAATTAGCACCGGGCAATTCCTTGTACTGTATTCAACAGTGGAAGAAATGTATCAAAATGAATAATGAATATACTTGCAGGCAGGCTCACTTTTTTTAAAAAAAATTGTAATGTCTTAAGAGCTTATATGACTGCTTTCAACCCTTTTCAACATCAGAATGGAAGGAAACTTTCAGCTATCATGGCCACCGGGGGGGGGCACTTTCCACCCCTGCCATGTATTGATGCAAGCAAATATTGACATACCCCAGGAACCCTAAATTTGGTGCCATATTATTGAAAAGCTAGGTGCTTGTTCTTATGACTGAATGTTCATCTGGATTAAAACATCCCCTGCAGTTAGCACTTTGTCCAGATATTTCTCTCAAATTTATAAAACAATCTTTCAGCTGTAGTTGTTCAATATTGCAGATTTAGCGTGTCTGAGTGTCATCTTGAGGAAAGGTAAATGCTTCAAGCCAGATAGCTCTTCATGCAGGTGTATCTGTAGGATATGGTTAGAAAACTCAAGATGGCAACAATGCAAGTATAATTGAAGTTCTCACATTTTATATAAAATTAGGTAGAATTTGGGTCACATTGTTGGCCATTCTTTTGACCACACTCCTGCCTTCCTGCAAGTTTATAAATTCTATCAGCCTGTATAGATATAAATATTGTATGAAGCCACAGCTGGCTGTTCTGTAATGTTTGCATCTTGCTGAATCCAGAACATCCTTTTACTGTAACAAATAAGCAAAATGTTTAACTGTTACAGTAAACATTCAACTTTCCCTTTGTTTTAATCCTTGCTTTCGTAATCCATTCCCCTCCCCAATTGCTTTAAGATCATTTTAGCATTCTCATTTTACATATCTGCCTATCAATTCTATCTATATTAGGATATAACAACTGGTAACGTAGTTTTCTAAATACAATTAGAAAGATAGAAGACAGAAAACAATTAGAAGGCTAATTTTTTTTGGGTTGATATGATCTTCAGCTGTTTTATAATGCAGCTTAAAGTGATTGCATCCTGGTTATAGTGAAAAAGAAAATGAACTAAAACTGACATATTTCCAGATGATGTTCTACACTGTAATTGATCAAACTAATGGGAAAAAATTCTTCTCTTTAAGGTCTCAAAGTTAGAAAATCAACTTTATATCTATTATGTACAAATGCTGTAATTGCAGAAGTCAAACACTTCTACTGTATTATATAGAACATGTTTTTATAGTTAAATTTTAAGATAAATCACTTTAATCTATTGTAAAATAACATTTCAAATAAAGGAATGATAGGAGTATATTACCCTAAGATTTGTCAATGGTCTTGTATAATTTTAAGAGTCAGTTTCGGTGTATGATTAAAGCACAAATTATACATTTGTGGACTGAGTTCTAATTCTACCTTAGGCACGAAGCTAGCTGGGTGACATTGAGCCAGTCTCTCTCAGCCTTAGGCAATGGCAAACCCTTCCAAAACATTTTGCCAAGAAAAATGCACTAGCTTGTCCAGTCAATTGCTGGAGTAAAATAGACAAAAGCACACTAACCCATAAAATAATAATTGTATACTAGTTTGTATCATAGACCAGCTGGGAAAGGTCAGGACTCCCAGAATAATGGTGAACTGTTATCAATCTTTACATAAATGCATACATCAAGGGTTTAAATGGAGCCCGAATCAAGTTAAATTTCAACGATTAATCTACTGAAAATAAAAAAAGCATTGTAGAGTTCCAGTGTGAACCAAGAAAGGAGGGGGGGAAGGTATTTGCGAATGGTAGAAACAAAGTTCTCTCTCTCCCAAAAGTTGTTAACAGAAGCATTTATGTTTGGAAAAATCAGTAAATATTTCAACAGGTGATCTGGATATCTATTTTTAATTATTATACAGTAGTAACTGACAAAGTTGATACATTCTAAGATAGTCAAATGAAATCATCAGATTTCACGTGTCCATTAGTTAACATTAGAAGTGAAGAATAGGTGATTAGGAAATATGGATAGGATACTGGTTTCGTAATATACATAGACATTTTAAATTGTATTATATAATACTTCTTTTATTATTAACATTTGCTCTGACCTTTTTTGGCAGTGAAAGTTAATTGCCAATATTTTCTAGCTGTCCATAATATAATTGTTCTGCTTATAGGATGGAGAATCAGATATAATTATATTTCTTGCCAGGAATCTATCTTGATACAATAGGTAGAGAAAAAGGGTAAATATGCTTTTAGTTACTTGAGAATATTGAAGAAGTATCTATTAAATTTCAGATATGCAACCAACTAAAAATAGAGGCTGAGGCTCTGTTCCAAGTTGATCCAGTAGTACTAAAAGAATATTGCTACCAAATAATCCAGCAGCCATTCCTAAAGTCCTCCTAATAGACCACTTTGTGTTACTAAATTCCTTTGAGCAACCGTATAGAAGACATGAAAGAAAATCAAGAAATATTTCAATGTGGAGCTTATTTAAATAAATTCTTATAACAGTAATACAATCTGAAACAATCTTCAATGCTTAATTCAAAAGAGAATTAGAAACTATGCACTACAAAATATATACATATTTTTTATTTTCAAAGTTTTAAATACATAATTGAAATAACCCACTATCTTTTGTTTCACTGAACTGGTTACACTACATTGAATAAGCATGCATGATTCTTTTTTCTCCAGACTGAAATGCAAAAAAACCCTCATTTTCAATATTTAAAATGGCAATATAATTTATCCAAACACACAGCAATAACATTTTCTTGCTTTGCTTTTGCCATACTTTTCAGATAAACTACGAATGAAAACATTGACAATTAAATTAAAAACCACTGGGAATACTGATAGTTTAAACAACAAGATAACTAACACATAAATTATGCCAAATGCCTGAAAACAGGCTAATTTCTATTGGGCTACACTGAAAATACAGAAGTACAGCCCCAAATTGACCGAAAATCAGTTTCAAATAGATTCTAATATTAAGGCATCATGTTATAATTACAAGGACAATGGTAATTAAATTGTATGCATTTAACTTTCCGTGTTACAGCTGAAAGCAGAAAGTCATTTCCCCCATATTTGGAAATATCCATAGCAGCAGAAAAGTAATTTTTGTTGAGTAGGAAAGTGTCATAGAGTAATAGTTACATTATGTAATACAATTAATATAAAGTGCAGTATTCAAAATAAAAAATTAGGCCAGAAGCTATTTTTTGTATAAACTAGTTCAATATAGCTTTTACAGAAAAATATTGAGTTAAAAGCAGATCCTTTTTTAAAAAATGAAATTGTTACAAAGTAAGTGTTAGGAAGTTTTGTCATGATAAATATGAAATCCCCTTCACAACTCTTTTTCTTTGATCCTACAGACTAAATCCAGACACTGTTAGTTGCTGAGCATTATTCCTGGCTTCAAAATAGGATGTATCTGTTTCATCATTTGGTTGAGGTATAAAGGTCATAGTCTGATTGTGAAGATTGTCCCAATCCATACCATGAAAGAGGGGATGAAGCTTCAGCTCTGGAATAAATAATTAAAGCATATGTTAGATTTAATTCTGTGTCTTTCTCATTCTAATGCATGCTGGCTGGGGAACACTGAAAACTGAGGTCTAGACATCTTTAAATTGCCAATGTTGACAAACACTGTTCTAATTATTTTGATTTATGATTCTGGATGTTTCCAGAATTCAGTCTGGATTAATTACCTGGACTTAGTCTCTCAACAGTCCCCTGGCTAAAGTTTAAATTAAACACAACCAATAAGAATGTTTGCCGACTTCCGGTTTGCTGCTGGCCGCCGCCAGATGTTCCCTCGGGATCGTCAGCTTCCATTGCCTGTTAGAGCCGCCTTCACAGCGGAATGGCGGCTCGAAAAAACTCCGTTTCCATGAGGAAATGGAGATAGAGCCGGCAGGGGTGGGTAGAACTCTCTGCATAGTCCCAAAAGTTTTTCTTTTACTTTTGGGACGGAGCGGATGAGATGCCCCATATCCCCAGCCGCTGCTCCGGGCTTTGGGAGACCTCTGCTAATGCAGAGCCAGGCGTCAAGAGCAAGCCTGCGAATTTAACAGATTATTCAAAGAAAATGTGAGCTGGACCTGTAATACTGAATCGCAAGTATTTTACTTATCTTTTTAAAAAAACTACTTAAGAGAAAAGAGGAAAGGAAAGGGAGGGAAAAAAGCCTTTTAAAATGGTGTCTGCCGCGGCTGGAGAAGAGGCTGAAAGGGAAAGTCCTTCCGTTTTCTATTATTACAATGTAGCGGAATAAATACCACTGGCTACATTTGCAGACAAAACTTCGCTCCTGTGTCTTTTTCTCTCTTTTTTTTCCCTGGAGTCTTGACATTGTTTTTGATTGGAAAGAAGTCTTTTTTCTTGTTTTTTTTTTCCTTTTAACAAAGCTTGCCTGGGCGGAAACATGGCACTGAGACTCATAAAGTCAGACAAACAAGTAGTGGGGGGGGGGATTCCCCCACTAACAATTTAAAGGAACAAGTTTTAACTCTCCAGTCTCAGAAACCTGATTTCAATATAATAGAATTTCTCTTAGAGGAGATTGAAAGAAGGGATGAGATTGTGAATCAGCATCTTGAAAAATTTAAGCAGGAAATTAAAGAATTGGTGAAATCTAAGTTTGATTTTTTGGAGCGAAAAATTTTAAAAGTGGCTAATGGTTTTTCAGAATTTATGATACAGTTGGATACAAATACTAATTTACTAGAGTCTAAAATGGAAGAAACTCAAGATAAATTGGACAATAGAATCCAAAAAATTGAAAATGATTTGATAAACACTCAGGATAATAGCTCAGAAGAAAAACCTAAAATGGAGGCTGATCAAAAGTCTGGTAACGTAGAAAATCTGCAACAGAGGATTGAAAGAGAAGTTCTAATGGTACAATATAATTTCACAGAATATGCGATAAGACTGAGAGGTTTGCAGGAAAATAACAGAGATGATTTAAGGAAAATATCTTCTGAAATTCTAGCTGGGATTTTAAAGGTTCAACCTGAGGAAGTGTTTTGTAGGATTGACAGAGTTTACAGAATAAACTCCTGGATTGCCAAGCAAAGGCAACTGCCTAGAGATGTGGTGATTTATTTTACAGATAAAGAAATTAGGAATAATATTGTACAAAATTCCTTCAATTCTAATTTGCAATTGTATGGAAGAAAGATTTGGATTTACAAAGAACTCCCACCTAAGATATTAACGGAAAGGAAGAAATTTGGTTTTCTGGTGGCTGAGTTAAAAAAGAGAAATATCCCATTTAGGTGGGACGCCCCAGTTGGTATCATATTGAGATATCAAGGAGAAAGATACCAGATAAATACTGTTGAAAGAGCGGAAGAATTTTATCAAAATAGGTTGAAAATGAACTTAACATCTTCAGGTATAATACAGGATAAGCAGAAGGAGCTGGAAATAAAGGGAAAATATCGAATTACAGAGACTGTACCAGATAAATTGTCTTTGGATTTTTCGGATACCCCAGATGGATTATCTACAAATTTGAGAGAAGTGGCATCTGACTTTAACGTGATGACTTATCAAGTCAAGGACAAGCATGGAAACCAATTAGGGGATATATAAGGGATAAAAAAGAAACATGAGACACAAAAACAAAACCAACAAGACCAATCTACAAAGCAGAATGAAAACCGATTAGTTGATACACAATCTGTAGAAAGGAAACCAGGATCGAAATCAAACCCACAAAAAGAAAAGAAAAAAAGAAATAGGTTGTATAAAAATAGAAATTTCTAAATCAAGCAACAGTGAAGCCAGTGACTTTAAAAAATGAATGAGTATGTGAAAATATAGAGGAGGCGACGTATTGGTCAATATTATCCTGAGGATAGTGACAGATCTCTGCATTGCCGTAATCTTGGGATGTGAAAAGAGCCTTAAACTGATGGATTTGAATTATCCACTTTGGAATCCTTTTTTGTGCTGACAAATATATTATAATTATCTTGAATCATAAGGCAAGAGAATTACGCTGGGGCAAGCAGAAGATCAGGTTGTTACCCACTACGATGATGGGAATCAATAATCCTGATGAAAGCCACAATTATTACTATATGGAATATAATTATAATGTCACTCGGGTGGTTGTTTTTATTTTTATACATATAAGAGGATATTTACTACTGATGGGGGCAGATATGATTGAAGATTTTGAATAAACTGTTGCATCAGCAAGCTATGTTACCCTATTATGGATGATGGTCCTAACAATCCAGTGGAAAGACTTTAAAGAAGATATTATATGGACTATAAATTTAAAGTCATTGTCTTT